CAAATCTCTAGTACTTCAGTTCTCATAGAAAATGAAGGTAGAATTGACAGTAAGTTGTCACCTAGACAACTAGATAAAATTGTTAGAATTTCCATGAAGATAAATATAAAATGTAAAATTAGTAAGCTCCTATACAAAAGGAATTTTTGCTTCAAACCAGCTTTAATATTCCCTAAATTAAGAGTTCTAAATTAATTTGACTGAAGGAGGTCTTTTACCTAAACCAGTAGCATTGCAGACTTGATGATAGGTATTTATTTTCCTCTAAATGTTGTAGGTAGGGAATTATTTTCCTTTAAAGGAATATTATATTAATATTTAAGGGAATCTTTGAACTTCTGTTCGTTAATTGTAGAATATGGCCAAGTGCCTATGAAAAAAATGATAATGGTATTGATATTTCATTCTGAAGGGTCTCAAAACAATTTCCAGATTGGTAGTATAACCACACTGAAATGCACCCAGCTTCTTGGTGGAACATGGCAGCTGTTTAATAGCCCATAGCAAAACTATATAACAGCAGGTTGTGGAAAAAGAGATGAATATGGATCAACTACAAATTGGCAGTGGAGGATTTAGGTACTGTACTCAAATTAAAGTTAGGTGAAGTGGAATTCTGCTAGAATATTGAGTCTGTTTATGAAGTGCTACACTTTGTCAGACCACAGCTCCCTGTGTGGAAGACAGGCAAAAGACTGTGTGCTGAAATGCAATCCTTGATGTATACTGTAGACCGGTGTGTTTGACAAACAAATTTAATTGTGAATACTTTGCTGTTTGCACTTGTAGAGGGGTTTATTAAAAACATTTGATGTTAAAATGGATGCCTGAGGGGAATCTTGGGCAGATGTGGCAATAGGTTTTGATGGGGGTGGCAAAAGTGTTGGCGCAATTACATAGTTTTAGTAATTACTTTTCAAAAAAACTACATGCTACTGGAGAAGGCTGTGCTGCTAAGAGGTTCCCCAGGTATGAGGGCTGAGAGGTGGCTGGTTTGGGTTTTTTTTTAATAGATGGAGAGCATTTATTTGCTAAGGAAAAGAAAGGCAATAAGATGCTTCCAGACAGCATTCCCTTAAGTCCCTGTTGGCCTGAGCTAAATTATGGCTTGTGGCTGAAGCTGCATGATCTGTAGGTCTAGCACATCTAGACCAACTTCTTTGTACCATTTTCCACATACTAAATAAAGATCTGTAAACTTCTCTTGCTCTAGGAAAGTATATGGAGGTCCAACTGCACCATAGCTCTCTGCAACGCACGCCAGATTTAAAAGGAGCAAACATGACTTGAATAATTTTTCATGAGCTTTAGTATGCATGTATGTCTTTATTTATTTATTTTGATAATTGGGTTTTCCCTCAGCTAAGGAAAAGCTGGTGTTGCTGACATTACAATGTGTTTGTGAAGAAAGACTGATACCACAACACATGCAAGCAACGGCAAGGTCATTACTTACCCAGCATAATTAGAACATCCATTACAAAGGGGGAAAACATTTAAAAGATAAAGAGTAAATTTAAAAATTATTCTTCCCAATGTATTTTTTTTTCCATAATTATAGTTTTAACAGCTTGTGGTGATGGTAAAAGCAGCTACTAAAGAAAAATTAGAAGCCTCATTCGGGAAAGATGATCCCTCAAGAGACCTTGTGTTGTTATTTCTAAAGAACCACGAGCAGAAACCTCATTCAGGATGCTGTGTGTTGTTTTGATGTATAGGGGGTATAGTTAGCTAATTATGGCAAATGCTGGATATTTTAATTAAAAAACACCACAACAGCCACAGATGTATTGTTTCCCCCTTATTCCTCCCCTTGTCTGTGTGCAAAAATACAAGTACACTCCTGCCCCTCCACTGGAAGGAATTAATGTCATAGCAGATAGGCAGGAGAGAAGCAGTAGGTTTCCTAAATTCATATGTGACATATCTTAGCATAAAAAAATTCTCATTACAGCACACAAGCCTGTTGTAGTTTTCTGAGTTTTCTGTGGTTGCCAAAGGGCGATGGGAAACGGAGAGGAAAAACAAAACAAAAAAAAAACAACCAGTCACCACATGTAATTTATGAGCAAGATTATTGTTTTACAAATAACCTTCATGATAAGTAATATCTCATGGCAACATTTTCAACCGTGCTTTTATCAAGACTCTCTGAGCGGTGTGTATAATATGCCGAGCAATTGAATCACAGCTGCGTGCCTGGGTAGGGAATCTCTGCGGAGACAACACTTCCTTAATTTAAACAATTGTAGGCTGCAGGAGTTCAAAAATTTCAGCTGACTTTAACTGTCACTAGCCCAAGCACCTTTATCCCCAGGCGAGCAGCAGCAGCTGGATTTCATTTCCTGCTGCCAGACTGTCCGACATCTTTGCTGAACATCCCGGGAACTGAGCGTCTTTACTTTAAGGATTTTATTCAAGGTGACAGCTCCTCACACTTTAGCGTTCAGATCACCTCAAGTAGCTGAGATATCAGTGAAAATGAGAGCACTTCTCCAGCAAACTCCAAATTTAGATTGACTGAGGTTATCCTTAGGCCTCTAGACCCAGCCTCCATGACAGCACAGGCCTGCCAGTAACTTTAAAACTACAGTGGAGTTTGTAATGATGTCTGGGGAGAAATATTCTGCTGGAGCAGTGGAGGATACTATAAGCGATAGGAAATGATGTCAGATTTAGTTAGGGCTGGAGACAGTGTTAGAATATACTTGGCATAATATGGCACCGGTATCTCTGTCAGCATCTCTGTTTTCTGTCACTGCACACAATCCCGGGCCTGTCTGTATCCCTGACAGTGTCTTTTCAGATCAGGTTATTGCCAACTCAGAGACTGGCTCAGTGCAGCACCATACAGCCCCCTTTGTTTGAAGTCTGCCCTTTTGTCATTAATGCACTTGATGTCTATTTAAATCTGACGGTGAATGCAGTATCTGTTTTCCTGTCAAGAGATCATTGACAATATTAATACCTCATGTCCTTGCCTCATTTTCTAAGCACTGACACCTAGCCACAGTCTCCAGCATTCATCAAACAGCACTCTCTCACCAGCATCTCTATAAACAGTCTTGCTTCCAGTCCTTAAGAACTGTGGCAGACCTCAAACGAGACTTTTATCAATGCCAGTGAAAAAGGAGTCTGAAGAATGCCATTAATAAACTGTTCGTATCCTGTACATTTAGAGCTCTAAATGGTCTTGTTACCGATCTAATGCCTGCTGCAGTTAGACTTGGAATATCATCTGTTTAGGGGGCAGAGGGGAGGGAAAACCTTGCTTTTCATTAGATGCTTGGTTAGGAATGGTAATATCAGCCCTTGAACGTGGAAACTGTTCCACTAGTGAAATTATTCAAGAAAGTTCCATGGAAGAGGGAAAAGGGATTGGGCACTGCACCATATAGTCCCCATTTGTGTAATACTTAAGAGGGATGTGTTATTCACAACGAATAACAGGCCTATCTGTTCCTCTGCTTCCAGCCCACTCCACCCCTCCCCCCGAATGTTTCTATCCTGATGTCTTAGAAGGAAAGAAGAGCATGGGTTAACATTAATCTTGCACAGCCCATTCCTTCCAAGACTGTAGTTGCTTATCTGATGCATGTTATACTGGAAAAATAGACACAGAAAATAAAAGCTTTTATACTGAATTCATAGTGCAAGATGGCACAGTATTTGGTATTTGAGTCCTGGAAAGCTAAAACAGCAATGAATTGAGGATCTGCTCCTCCCCCATCTTTATCCTTTATGTAAGACTGTTTGTCTCCTTTGGGCTAGGTTATGTTTGCTCTTATGGGGATGAGCTAGGTACTTCAGTGTCTGCTGCGTTAAGAGACACTCCCAAGTAGAGGAGACCCTTTCACATCCCTTCCGTGCGTGGGAGATGACTTTAATTTGACTATACGTGCATCAGGGCACTAAGAACAGTTCAGCTAGTAAGATTTAGCATCTTTGAGGATGTTCACAGGTGGGATGTGACTAAATTGACACTTTTATATATTGCTTAGTATCACCAGAGGGGATGCTTTGAATAAGGTAGTGAGATCTGCAGGTATGTGTTTCACTCACAGCAGTTAAACCTTCCTCAGGCATCTTGCTACCTGTACACACTAAGAATAATGTGCCTAGTCTCTCAAAAGCAGTATTCTGATTAAATTTTGAAAGCATTCTCTATGTACTAATATTTAGCATAATTTATAATTGTCATTTGTGTATGGCATGTGAGGCTTTGAGCAACCTGGAGTAGTGGAAAGTGTCCCTGCCTGTGACCGGGGGGGGGGGGGGGGGGGGTGTTGGAACTGGATGGTCTTTAAGGTCCATTTCAAACCCAAATCATTCCATATTGTTTGAAGAGCTATTTCAGAAATGTTTTTTATGAAATTTTCATTTGTATGTCTGGGAAAACACTGGAGTCTGGAGGGCTAACTGTTAGGAATTCTCAAGTTCTATGTTCTAAGAAGCCAATGACTTCCCACAAGGATTTCAGCCGATCATTTCTCTAAAGCAGGGATGGCTTTAAGTGCTTGCAGGATGACGTTGTGAAAGTTCGAATGGTTTTTTCCTGAGTCCACATGAAACTGTAACTATTTGCTACTTTTTTGTTTTGCTTTAATTATCAGGAAAACCCTGTAGACATGTAGCAGGGAGATTGCTGAGAATACAAAATGCAACTTTAACCCAGACTTTCTGGTTTTCAAAAGCAAGAGAGAGGTGTTTTGATTTAAAATACAGTGTATGATGTTTCATTGTTATGTCATTCCATTTTTGAAGACACTTGTGGATGTATGTTTAACAGGATGGGTCATGCATGTATTTAAACACATGTTTTCCCAGTGGATTCAAAACTGCCGACTGAATTAGTAATACTGAATACAAATACACAAACTCTCTTTTGCAGGACAAGCGAAAATTGTTTTTTTCCCTCCTTCAAATTTCCCTAGTTATGTGTTTTATTTGCATATTATGCCGTTGCTGTCCTAATTGTAATTTATTTCTTTTTGTTGCAGGTGTTTTGGGAAAATGTCGCTACATTTACTATGGAAAGCATTCTGAGGGCAACAGATTCATCCGAGATGACCAGCTATAAAACACAGCATTATTTTGTGCCTCTCTAGTCCCTCCACATAAGAAGCACAAATTGCATCTAAATTTCAAGCATGTAACTAAAGTCCTCTAGTGCCTTCTGCTGACTTTGCCAAGCCTGTCAAGATCATCCTCCTATCTTAGTCTGAGTAGTCACATAGAGATTGACATGATTGCCTTTAAGCAGGTCCCATCCACCAGTGTGACAGACAGCTGCAGCGGAGCACCCAGCCTGACAGGAGGAGTACCATGATGGATTGCCTGGTCCAATTGCTGCTCGCAGAAGAGCAGGGGTCACACCTGGTGCTTCAGTGAGCATGCTCCATTGGTTGGTGCCTTAGCAAAAGCAGCGTATTTTATCTCCAGCTTGCCTGTTGAGTGAAAGTGGCTGGTGATATCAAAGTGTTTATAAAAGAGAAGCTATAATTTCAGATGAAAAAGCCCTTATCGGTTGTTTCATTTTTTTCCCTGTGAATTAAGTGCTTGTGTTTCTATCATCATGTATGTGCTTAGACAAATCTGTGTTTTTTTGGTTTGGTGTTCCTCAACCCTCCCGCCCCTAAATGAGCCTAGATAGATTATTTTTATTTCCAACACGAAAAAAAAAAAATCCTGAAAATATTTTGGCCATGCAAAGTACTATCAATTTCTATAATTGTTTTTTTTTGCAAAGAAAACAGATTTAAGCCATTTCACAAATAAAATTTGCTAATTCTTTAATTGCATCTCAACATTCACCAAGTCTGACCTTCAGAAAAGCAATCATCTTTTTCAGTGCTGCAGATTAGTGGCACAGCTTAACTGTACATGCTTGGAAGAAGCCCTCAGTTGTGGTATCGACAGTGTGTATTATTTCTGGTTTATTGCACAAGATAATTTTAATTTGTACAGCGACAGCATTTAGAATTAAATATTTAAATTTGGAAAGAAAAAAGTGCTTAAAAGGAATGATATAAAATAAAATTGCCACCAAATAGGTATGATTATTCAGAGGAGAAAAAGTCAGTAAAAGTAACTGGTGGAATTAACATGATTAACAGATTTATTAATATGTTACAGGGACAAATTATTAACCCATTTTGATATCTTTGTAAGAAAGGCTATTGTAAAATTTTTGGTGGAAAAAATAAAAATGCATGGCATATTTCCTGCTTTTTGATGAACGGGTTGGACATATTTAGAATGCTGAACTTGATAGTGTATAAAAAAATATCCCAGTGAGTGATGTATATCTTGTGTTAAGTACCACCAGATACAATGGGATTAGCCAACAAATATGCAAAAATTCTGACCTTTGAACTGTTCCAAACCTGTGCATATTGGCTCTCAACCGAGAGCCATCAATGTCTGCTGTTCTTGTCTTCTTTGAAGTTATTTGGTGGTCTTTATTCACGTACCTGGTTGAAAAAAACGTCAGGTTTTAGAAGTCGCCTACTTTGGGGGGCTATTGAGCTAGTGTTGCAGGTGGAAGTGAATTGGATATTGAAGCCAATCATTAAATCAGGTTTGACTGTTGAAAAAGAATGAAACACTGGCTGAGGGACAAAGGAAAGCTTGATGCTGCTGAACATTCCAGGCCTTACTCAGTAAACGTAAGCCTTCACTCACACTGAAAGTCTATAATAAATCTTTAACAGATACTTAAAATCAGCGATGAATGTAGAAGGATCCAGTTCACACCACCTGTGGTTCAAATTGAGCTCTGAGCTGTTTGCCATACAAATTGGTGCCTGGGAAGCACATTTTGTCCACTTTTAACACCTCTGTTATTGTCATAAATGGCTAGAAATGAAATGCCAATTCACATTAGAAGTCCTAGGAGATATTAGATAAAGGAAAACTACATGCATCTCTTTAATCAAAAATATTATTAGAAATATTTAGGGCACTTGTCACTTGGTCACCAAAATAACAGCAATCCTAGTTTGTTCCTATCATACTGTGTGTTTTGAAGCCTCCACACATGTTGGCCATGGCATAGTACAGGCAGCAGGCTTATGAATAGGGGTGTTCAAAATAATCTGATGTCACTTTCAGTCTGGTTACATATGTGTTCTTGTCTTTATAGAAGGCTTTAACCCTGCCTCAAACAATAAACAGCACTTGCAAACTGACCGTATGACTTTTCCATCTTTATTTTGCTTGTTTACTTTTCCTAATGTCAAAACCGTTTGTATCATTTTTTGGAGTGTTTTCTTCCCAGAAAAGCTTTGGAGGCAAAAATATTTTTGGAATGAGACGTGATTAAAGTCACTTCAATTTTATTTTTGTTTTCATTTTGGTGATTATATACCTATAGATAATATGGTAAAGGCATGATTAAAATTTGCTCAAATGGAATTCACATTAAATGCCTCTGATTCTGGAAGATCAAAAGAGTAGTCTATGAATAATTATATTGCTAACATGTATTAAGGTATTATTTAGAAACAAGCATAGATGATTATATTTTTTATGTTAACTTTTTTTTTTTTTAATAAGCGCGTAACTTAATTTTCAGGTGTCTTCTGCTGAAGTTCAGTTTTAAGAGATGGAAACTCTTCAAACCTGGGGTTGCTATCTGCACTTGGCTCTTTCCTCACTGGAAACTGCAGCTGAATGTCTTAAGTGAACTGAGCATTGTTTAGGATGAAAGTTGCGGTGAAATTACCTGAGATTCCACTCTCTCTCCTTTACTCCCCCTTCTCCATGCATGGGTGCATCATTTCCTCTCAAGATTAACTAGGCTGTTAAAAATAAAAGATTTGGTGCAAATCTATAAGGATTTATTCTATGATTTTAAAATTTTTAAAATTCTATGATTTTAAAATATGTATCTTTCCAAGGAGCCACTGCATTCTTATTTTGTTGTGTTGTTGCAAGAAAAAATTTTGGCCAGCCATGTTCTGTGGCTGTGAACAAGGTTTGAGATTGAAGGTGTGCTTGAATAGGTCATCTTCAAATACTGAAACCTTTTTAAATAAACCCAGACTTCAGTCTTATGTTCATTTTACTCATGACCAGTACTTTAGGTTTTGGTAGATATCATGTCTTCTTAAGTGAAGATTAGGAGGCAAATGGTTTTATTTGGAGCTGCTTGTAGTAGCTGTGCTTCCTGCACTCCTAACTTTATGCAATGAAAATGTTAATTCCTAACCTTTTAATTAAAAATAAGGAAAAAAATCCCAATTACGATATTGAAGTGAAATTCTAAGATTAATGACCTTCAGTGAAAATCCTACTGTTATGGATACACAGACCCAACTTTATAGCAAACTGGCTCTAATTGAATGTATTGCATGTATAAATGATTTATGGGATTGCTGAAAGTATGTTACCACTGAAACCACTTTTTTCTCCTTTGTTACGGCTGAGTCTCCAATACTTTTTCTAGTGTTTGCTTTACTCAAACTATGAATCCCTTTGAAATCAATGTTTTTATCCGTTAGAGGTAGGGGTAATGGTATTGGAAAGCTGGTACGCAGGTCCCTTTTTAATATATTTGGTTCCCTGAGCAGGACATTGCATGACTGCTGAATGTTCAATTCTCACATCTTTACAGGTGAAAAATCACTGTATGTTGGTCTAATGTTGCTCCCATTTAAGTCAGAAGAAAGAAACAAACCTGTCTGTGCTTTTGAAAATTCTTTCTTTTTCATTACAGGGTTCACTTGCTGCCAGTGGACATATTAATATATTTTCATTCCTGCCAACAATATAAGCATGTTGGGAAATGTTTACCCCCAGTAGAACTTTGCTAGATCAGCCATTGTGGTGAAGTTCTGAATCAGCCCATTTTATACTGACTCACACTGAGTCTTGCCACATAATTCTTCTTTATGTGGTGTGATAGTTGGCACATGAGTCTCTGCTTGCCCATTTTGGGAAAGTTTATTCCTTTTACTCTCTGTACAACTGTCTTTCTGCTTTTTTAAATGGTTGGCATATGTGGAAGAAAGAGGTGAAATTCAGCTTTCCAGAGGTGCAACCATATAGCTGAGGTTGAGGCTGCATGTTTGGCACTTAGATTTCTAAGTATCCATTTGCAGGATGGGTTTTGCATGACTTGCTAGCTGTTGTCTTCTGTTCCTAAAGAACAGACCTTTCCTTTCTAGCTGTGTCCTTGTCTGCTTCAATTGCTATGTCATTGCTCTGCAGGCAAGTGATGGCATGAAATAGGTAAGTGCTCCCATTTTGTTTTTAAAGTGAAATTTCTGCTTCACTGCTGCTTGTAGTATAACAATTGAAACGCATAGTTTGCTTTTTCAGAGTTTTTGTATGTACACCTAGTAACTGTTACCTCTAACTAGCCTTTTTCTGCTGTTCCATTAAAATTGGTTTTCTGCATTCCTTTCTACTCTTAGTAATGGGAATAAACTAAAACAAGATATCATTGTGAGAAAATGACCATCTAAAGTTGTTACTGTGGGACCATGCCTATGTAAACAACTCTGTGGGACAGGTGAGCATTTTTATACACAAACACTGCTAAATGGCTTGAAGGACTGAAATTTCTTTTGCTTTGGAGCTTTCTTGGAGTTAGGCTGTGGTTGTGAACAACCAATGTATAGCCTTTGATTTCCTTTTGTCGCTCTTGCAGTATTAGGTCATTAGAGAATGTTGTCTTACCTAAATGAATTAATGTTCATTTTAATTCTAATATTATCCAAATAACCTATCAAGACCTTGGATTATATGAGAGTTAGGCCCAAGAAAAATGGCTTCTTCCAGTCATTTGTAGCCCGTTCTTAAGTCTTTAGAGTGTTTTCTTTGGCGATTGTTATGTGAGAATGTTCAAGATATATTCAGCACTACTACTTCATCAAAGCTGGTTGAATTAATATATTTTCTGTGTGCAGTACTAAAGCAGCTGAATCTTTCTAAAAGTTACCTTTTAGGTTAGGTGACTCTGATGGACTTGCCTCTGGTGGGGTTGTCAACCCAAAGCTGACCCTTTCTTAGAGTTGCTGACAGTTAGATTAAGGTTTCAGACCAGGATTTTCACAAGCCTTCAAGGAGCAGATATTTTTAAGGACAAGCTAAGTCGTGGTTATAGTACATTCACAAAATATCATCATCATCTCAGCATTTTAAGAAAACAGCATCTTGAAAAATATATTTAGTTCTAGGTTTGTCATGTTTATAGGTTTTAATGTAACGTATATTCTACAGTATCACATTACATGCAATGTTTGTCCTATGAGTGCAAGTTCCTTAATGTGTTCAAAACATTCTCCCAGCATGAGCTTAAAATTTCTTGCAAATATTTTGCATTCTGATTGAAAGTTCTGCTGCCAATTCACAAACAAAACTGTAAAGTCTAGTTTTATCACAATCCAGAAGTTTAACAGATCATCTCACCTCTCATCTGTAGATCTTCATAAATCAGAACTACAGCCTTATGATATTAAAGTTTTATAGTAAAATATATAGAAATGCATCTGCAAAATATATAGAAATGAATCTGTTTGGAAATGTGGGTATTAAATGTAATTTTTAATTCAGGATTATATTTGGATATGTATATGTGAAGAGGATATATATGATAATATATATGATATATATGTGTGAAGAGGAGCTTCACAATATCTCTTCAGATCATACTCCAAAGAAAATCAGTGGCAGAAGAGTGTAGCTTAACAAATTCTGCATTACTTTTATATTTGAATGGGGAAAATCAAATAAAGAATACAAAGATAACTGAAATTGATATTTTTGCCATAATTTTTATCTGTGATTGGCCTCCTATTATTAAATTAACGCTATTTTTGCAATTGAGTATGTAAGATTCAGTACAGGGAAAACAACGAAATATTTCTGACAAAAATCTGCTCATTCATTTTATAGGCTTCTCTGATTTTATAAGACCTTTGTGCACTCAATTATCTAGCATTCAGTGTATCTATCAAGTAAGCAGACAGTTGTGGACTTCAGGGAATTTTCAAACACACATGCTGTTCAACCTTTGCAATTTTCTTTTACCTAGGAATTGTTTTCAGAAATTCCCATATAATGAAATTTCTGTTTAAGTTGATAGCTGTAAATGAGGGCACAGTTGCTTCATTTCCTTTTGACAATAAGCCAAATTCATCCCTGGTGAAACTCCATTGATTTAACTCTACTTGAGCTAAGCTACACTGGGGATGAATTTGGCCCAGCTTGAGATTTTTTTTATTCATCTTTTCTTTAATTTCCTTTAGCTTAGTAGTCGATTTAGGGCTGGTCAGAGGATTACAATGCAAGAGAGGGGAAAAGCAAAACTTCTCTGCTCAAGAGTCATTTCCTTTTTAATACCCTACTGATTTAACCATGACTTGTAATGTGTTTCAGGTAGCCAAATTTCAACATCAATTTTGGAAGAAAGTTCACTATACTTTGAGTCTCCTTCCTTGGCTACTTCCCAAACCACCAAATCACCACTTACTATACAAAGCATATATTGTAAAAACCAATGAAAATGTCAGTGCACTGGGAATTATTTGGATAAACTGCAGTTATCAACTGATGCCTGATATGGTTAGCTTGAGCTCCAGTGATTGCACACCTCTTTGACTATTACTTCAGATGCTGGTGAACCTGCAGTATCTCAACATCTGTAATGCTCAACATATCTTACCCCCTAGCTACTGCTTGTTGCACTTGGGTTTCTGAGTCTTGGGTGACTTCTGTCCATGTGTTTCTTATGCCACACTATTTGGTTATTTTGGTTATTAAACAATAAGTTTCAAGTTTGAGCAAAAGCTGAAAGTGTCATTCAGCAAAAACCACTACTGAGCTGTATGTGCTTTTTGTATGAAACTTGTAAATCCACTGCGTTCACTGAGGTCTTAGCAAACCCAGTCTGAATGTCAAACCTCTAGCAGCTCTCCCAAATCAGGCTAGTTCTGGGTTTCATTATGAAAGAATTGCACAGCTCTAGCTAAACCATCATTTTCCGCTTTCAGCTGTATTTATGAGGCTTAAGAGTTAAAAAAAAAAAAAAAACAACAAACAAACCCCACCAGCTGTTAATCACAAGTTGGTATCATGAGCACATTCTGAGTCTTACCCTCTTTCCATTGATACCAGTTGCAAAGCTTTCAACATCAATGGCAGTAGGAGGAAATATTGCAAAATATAGAAATGCACACCCAGT